AAGATAGTACAAAAGGATTTTAAATGTATATACTGAAGAAGGAAGAAAAAACAAACAATAAAAAAGAAGCAACGTCCTGCAGTCACATCAAGCAACCTAGTAGTCTAGTACAAGCTCAAAGTGTTTAAGTTTTCACATATATTATTGGTCATATGTAATAAGAGTATAAGACTAGAAAAGTCAGCACATGTTTGCCTAGCTAATGTCTAGTTTTGCAGCAGACTTACATAGAGTACATTTTAGAAATAATGATAAATTACAGTCATCTTATATTTAACATGCACTGTCTTCATCAAATCTAAAACCATCCAGGTCTACCTTCATTTTTTTTTCTCAGTTACTGGAAAGTATCATTTGTTCCAAAATAATGTTTTAGTCAATAAGGACATTATTATACAGAAAAATTAATATGCTAAAATTTGCTGATGAGTCTACCATACCGTGCATCAATTAAGAAGAGTGCAAACTGAGATCTTGCCAGCACATTCCCAGTCATTTCTGCAGTTCTTTGAAGAACTGAACCAGAGGAAGCCTCAGCCTCTAAGCCAGCAGAATCCAACACCCTAAACCGCAAATCACCCAATTTCGCAACCCCATCACGAATATCTCGAGTAACATGGTCAGTAGGCGTGTTGTACACAAGGGCCTCCCTCCTTCGTATCAACCTACAATATCACATACCAACATTTACAAGACAACCATATTAATAAAATGGCATGGTTAATGACTATAGATAAAGAATATCATAGCAATACCAACCGATTAAACAAAGCGGATTTTCCAACATTAGGGCGTCCAATTATAATAACAGTTGGAAGTTTGTCAATAGCAATCTTAGTGAAATCAACAGATTCTTCTGTGGGATATTTAACTTTAGGCTCATCAGCACTACTGTCACCAAAATCTGACTTTTCATCTTTCATTTCTCCAGTCAAAAGAGTGCAGAATCTTCTGACATTCGGAAAAACAACTGGAAGTTCTAGAGAGACCCATTCACAGCATTTTGAACCCAAATTTGTTATTTCAATGTCTCTCTTTGTCAAACGATCAAATGATGATCCTAAACATCATAATCAATTGGGAAACAAAGCATGAATTCAAGCTATTGATTTCTAATTTTCTATAGAAACAAAACATAAACCTCAAAACCATCTCCTGTTCTGGTTATATCATCAAAAGAAGAAAGAAATCCATAACCAACTTCCTATCAAAGAATCAAATGAAAAGCAACAAATTTCATAAAACAAAAAGCAAATTACCATATTTAACTTGAGTGCCAGAGGAGATAAACCTGGAAAATGAACATATATTATCTCCCCCATTACAGTGGCTAGAATCTATATAACTCCAATGGGTGTGCAAGGAAGCTCTACTAGATAAAAGCCTGAAGCAATGATGGTGGCACTTTCGGGCAGAAAAGGCCCTAACCCATGAGTGAGGCATTCCAAGATGAATGCTTTATGACTGATTATTGCTATCTATATCAACCGTCTTTCTTTAGTTCAAACAGATGTGTGTTTTTCTCACCTGAAAATGTAAATTGAAGCTTTGAAAAACTAGTGTGCAAAATGATCAAAAAGCAAACAAAGAATATTCAGAAAACTAGTAAAAACTAAAAAGCATCCTGCGCAATGCAGGAGATGAGTAAAAAAAATATCAGGAATAAAAGAAAAAAAAAAAATGTCACTAGTAGCTGTACGCAATGCTCCCAAGTATCAGAACTAAAAGAGAATAATTCAATAGTAGGTATATGCAATAATATGAAACTAAGGCTAAAATTGAAAGATGAAATTAGAGAGATTACAGAATGGACATGAATTTGTGAAATTTTATTGAGGAAGAAGACATTATACTTTCCAGTATACTGGAAGCTGAGAAAGGAGGCATTATTTGACGTTTCAAATTTAGGGCTAAAAATCAATTAACTACCGTCGCATTGCTTCAGATATCTTCTCCAATCGGCATTTCATGCAAGGGTGGGCATTTGGGTATTCAGTTTGGTTTTGGTTTGTTCAGTTTTGAAAAAATGAAACCATTCCGTTTAACATTGTAGTTCTCAGTTCTGTTTGGTTTGAAAAAGTTCGGTTTCGGATCAGAATTCTGTTCAGTTTATCCAAAAAAAAAATATAAATACAAATCTAAGTTTCATGACTTTCATAACTAGAGAATTTAGTTTATCCAAAAATCATTATACTCAACATGTACTGATTTGTATACAAATCTAAAGTTTCAATATACACTCAAAAACTGTGTTTACAGGAGAAATAAAAAAAAGACTGGACCAATAGAAAAGAATCATGGTGAATTGATGATAACCTCAGACCAAGAGTGAATACAGTTTTGAAGATTAGAAAAACATTATTTTCCTCATATTTTCCACAACGGCTCAAAAACAGCATTTACAAGTACATTCCAGTGTTCGACCTTCTTCCGGAGACCGGAGTTCTGTCCTTGAGGCTGGATTTTCCAGCCTTCAAGGCTTCAACTCCTTCAAGCAATCAATGTTCAAGCTAGAAATCAATATTCAACCTATTCAAGCTAGAAATCAAGGAGAGGAGCTGTAAACTGAGTACCTTCGTGGAGGAGCTGGGCATCAGGCGGCCAGGCGCGGACGGCGGAGGATTCGTCTTCGATTATTAGATTTTCAGATGGAGGAGTGGCGGGCGGCGGAAGGCTAGAAGCACTGAAGCTGATCTCTATTCTTTTTTTTTTTTGGTAGGGAGCTGATCTCTATTCTATAATGCTATTAAAAAACAAAAACAAAAACAAAAATTTTGATGAGGTTCGGTTCAATTTACTAACTAAATTGTTTGCCCAGTAAATTTTAATTTTGGTCATATGATTATAGGGGCTTTGTTAATTTCAGCACCCGATTTTTAAAAGTGTCAATTTAGTACCTTGACTATGCAATTTTTATCAATTTTGGTGACTCCGGTTAAATTGCCGGTCAAATTTCGCCAGAAAAACTTAATCCTTCATTTAGTCTATAATTTGAGGGGCAAAATCGTCTTTTGAATTCTAGTAAAATCGTCTTTTTTTCGGCGAAATTTGGCCGGTAATTTGGCCGGAGTGACCAAAATTGACAAAAATTACATACTCAAGGTACTAAATTGACACTTTTGAAAATCAGGTGCTGAAATTAACAAAGCCCCTATAGTCATATGACCAAAATTGAAATTTTCTCATTGTTTGCTATACTAAAAAAGCTTATTGAACGATACTTTGATATATCACCCACGAGAAAATTTCAACTTTGGTCAAACGATTATAGAGACCTTGTTAATTTTAACACCTAACTTTTAAAAGTATCAATTTAATACCTTGAGTATGTAATTTTACTCAATTTTGATCACTCCGACCAATTTACCGGTCAAATTTGAGCGAAAAAATTAAATCCAACTTTTAAGCACAAATCTGAGGGGCAAAATAGTCTTTTCCTGACCTGCTCCTAATTGACCGGACCGCCTTCTTTGATCCGGTTCACCTACAAAAATAATAATATATAACCACCTAGTTTTGTAGGTGGTCTATTATTTTTGCAATGCTGTAGGTGAACCGGATCAAAGAAGGCGGTCCGGTCAATTAGGAGCAGATCAGGAAAAGACTATTTTACCCCTCAGATTTGTGCCTAAAAGTTGAATTTAATTTTTCCGGTCAAATTTGACCGGTAAATTGGCCGGAGTGACCAAAATTGAGAAAAATTACATACTCAAGGTATGAAATTGATACTTTTGAAAGTTAGGTGCTGAAATTAACAAGGCCCCTATAGTCGTGTGACCAAAATTGAAATTTTCTCTATCACCCACTATTGTAAAAATCGACTTAGCCTATGGACTAGGCAGTTTTTAATTGACCGGTCAATTAGGTACCTTTAGGTGTTTAGTTGGGCGCCTAATTTAGCCTTGTTGGTGAATAACTTGATTGAATTTGCGCTCAATTCGGTCGAATGATTTTTTTTTACCCATGTTTGGTCACTTCTCTTCTATATCCTTCTAGTCATGTACTCTACAAACCAGCTAACATATGCAGTTGACTAGTTTAGAGGATTATAACAATCCAACAACTCTCATCTCTAATGGAAAAAGTAAAAATGATATACTAAGATTATTCGACCGCCTAAGAAACGTATAGGCACCACCTAGGGGCTAGGCCCTCGGACGTTCGCCTATCGCCTTCTGCAACATTGATATTACCAATATGATTTAGTTTTCCAAACTGAATCGTCCACCGCTAGTTTCAGGTACATTTTATTTGCAGTCCACAAAAAATTTGTTAGTGTTGATTGGCAAGAGGATACGAATATATCTCCGAAGGTATCAATTTTCCTAAGCGATGATATGAGAATATTTTATCGTAGATCATGGTCCAAATAGTGCCGTTCCTTTTAATAAAAAAAGCGAAATCGTTTTGTTCAATTAATTATATTTTTAAGACATATTCAGTTCTATTTTATATACACTGTTCATTACAGCACAACTAAAGTATCATTTTTTATTTAACTACAATTTCATTTACATTATACATTCAATATGTGAAACCTGTTATTGAATTCTATTTTATACATACTGTAATTTTATTACAACACCACTATAAATACATCAATTCATTTAAATAATTAATTTTTAAATAGTACAAATTAAATATTAATTTTACATTGATGATTGATATACTTTTATATATATATATATATATATATATACACACACACACACTTCCTCAAGGATTCATAAATTTTTCTTATCTCTTTTCAAAGTCCTCCGAAACTGACTGGTCAAAGACATTGCAAGAGATATTTTTTTTTCACATTACATTCTTTAAATATTCAAATTGTTTTACTATTTATCTACTTATATAGTCATATTTACTATACAAATTAACATGAACCCAAACCCAAACTCAAACATGTTACATTAGCTTCAGCCTTTCATGGTGGCAAAGTATGACATTATTAAAATTGTCACAACAAAACAATCATCAAACTAATCCATTCATGAGCAATATACAAAGAAAAACATGAAATTGGAAAAAAATGAATCAAATATATTCCACCAACATTAGATACATGAATAAACATTTGAATGTGTTGAAAGATTCACAAACTATAAATTTATGTACACAATTGCAAGCAAGTAACATGGTTTCAACTTCTGGCAACCATGTATGCACACTGTGAGATCAAAATCTGGTAACCGAGTTCTGCCAAACCTCGACGAATTGCTGATCCTTCCTAGTAACGAACATTTTGTTTCCCCCGAAGCTCATATGTGTGATCTTGTTGGCAGAGGTATCGTTAGCCCTCCCCATCGAGTTCTTCCTGAAGATCCTGTCTTCGCCTTCCTTGGCAGAACCAATCAAAACCTCTGACCACAGCTCAATGCTGCTTCCTTTACTGCAGAACACTTGGTTTCCATGGCTTTCAATCTTGCATCCGACGCCTTCCTTCTTTTTGTTCAAAGACTTCCTCTCGTCCCCGAGACAAACCCAAGGGTTTTCTGCATCAATATTTCTGAAGTCAGCATAGAACACCTCCCCGGAATGCACACCGACTTTAAACATTGCAGACATGCTGTCTGAAATGGTAACATCTGAGAAGCAATCCACTTTTTCCTTGACTTCCCAAACTGCATTGCCAGACCTCAAGTCCCAAAACTTAATGGTGCCTGAAACACCAGAAGGCCCACTGTGAGAGCCAGCAGACATAAGGAGATTATGGCCAGGAATCCATCTCAGCTTTGTGGCAGGAATGGCAGAATCAAGCTCAGCACCAAAGATTTCATAATGGCCAATCTCAGTGACAGGCCTAAAATCATCTCTAAGATCATACACCATAATACAATTGGAATTTCGCCTCCCAGACTCGAAACTGGTGAATAGATACTCATCTGATGACCCAATTGCCTGAACAGTTGAGCCAGACCTAGTCACATTTTCCCAGTTCAGAGTTTGTGTAACAAAACCCTTGTCAACATCAAGAATCTGCAGGCCTGAGAAATCTGTGGCACCAGCAGCCACAATGTTTGAGGACAAAGCCAGCAGGGAATCAATGGCAGAAAATTGGGTCAAAATGGTGGATTTCCTCTGCAAAGCCCAATCAAAGGAGCTGACTTTGCTACCATGGGCAACATGAACTGACCCAAATTGGGTTGTGGAGATTGAGGCAGGTGAATCCCTACCATTCAAAGGCAAAACCATTGATTTCTCAAGGTTGAAAGGGTCAAACTGGGATGGGTTTGATTGGGAATTAATGAGGAGTTGCTCTACACCATAGAACTGGGACTCAAAAATAAGATCTTGGATATCAAAAGCCTTGGCTCTTGAAGGGAGATTCCCAGTTCTAAGGAGGGAAAGCAGAATGGAAAAAAGCTCTGGGTCTCTATCAACAAAAGGGATTGAGCCATAGGAATTCACCAATTTTGAGAATAGGGATTTAGAACCTGCCTGGCTAAGGGTCTGTTTGGTTGTCTGGAAAAGCTGCCCACCCACATCAATGGTGACCATGTTAGAAACTGTTGAATCCTGTAAATTCTGCTGATACCCACTTGAGAGAAGCGTAGATCCAGCGCATGGAGGCATCCTCTTCTGGCTCCTGCTAAGAACAAACAATGTCTGGGAATTCAAGAAATTGAGAAGAAGAAGGTAATTCGAAAGCAGAAACCCAAAGAAGTTGAATCAAGATTGAAGCTTTTTGAGGGATTATGAATGGGTTATGATGATTGATGAATGGGAACACTGGAAATGATGGTTTTAAAGGTGGAGAAATGGTGTTCTACATGGTCATAGGATGGATGCTTCGCGCTTGTTGCTTGCGGGCTTGCGGGCTTGCGGGCTTGCGGTCAAACAAAATGTTCTTTTGGCTTACAGGAGACTGGATCACTGGAATTTAAAAATTTTAACTTAATTAATTCATAATTTTTTTTTTTCAAAACTTATAACCAAATCAATTTTGTTGAGAGTTAATACCCAAAATCGTCCTCGACTATAGTGGTTTTTCTTAATTTCGCCCTAAACGACTTTGGTGACCTAATATCGTCCTAGACTTTTGTGTTTCGCTCAATTTAGTCCCAGACTTTTGTGTTTTTGCTCAATTTAGTCCCTCATTTGTTATTCTGTCCATTTGGTGTTAAATAAATAGACAATTCAGTAATTTTAATATTGACATCTCTTTACTCATAGACATGTGAACTGCGAAATCTTTTTTTTTTACGAATTACTCATAAAACTGCGAATATAAAATTTGATTTGCAAGTCCGGGAGTAATTCTGGACGTAATTCGTACAAGAAAGAGGAATTTCGCACTTCACAAGTTGAAAGTAAAGAGAGATCAATATTGACGTTACTGAACTGTCCCTTTATTTAACACAAATTTGACGGAATAACAAATGGAGGACTAAATTGAGCGAAACACAAAAGTCTGAGACGATATTAGGTCACCAAAGTCGTTTAGGATGAAATTGAGAAAAACCACTATAGTCGAGGACGATTTTGGGTATTAACTCATTTTGTTGAGGATAAACTGGAATTATTTTAATTAATTGGGTAACAATACTCATAAACTTTATATTTGGACGAGGAGGACTTACAATCATTACTTGAGAGTTTATATTAGATAAATTTCTCTTTTTGATATTAGTCTACAAATTATCATAATTAGATAAATCAATCTAAATTATTCATAGTTAACCGTTTCAAACTAAAAAAGTCAAATAAGACATAAAGCTTATATTTAGCTGAGAATTAGACATAATATATTATATATGCTTAAAGCATCCTGTTTTTTCATAATGCATGGTGGTTACCCGGCCTCTATATCACACATGTGTGAGTGTGAATTTTAGTCATGTTGCAAATGGCTTTCAAATGGATATTAACTATAAGATAAATATCCTACCATGTCCCAGATTAGCAAATTATGTTGTGGACTCAGGTACAAAACGACACAGTTTGCGCGCGTGAAAATAGAGTTATGAAATTATGAATATAGAGTTATGTAATTGCGAATGTAGAATTCAAAAATTGTGAATATAGAATTCTGCAATTGTGAATATTGAGTTTTGTAATTTTATATATTGAGATCTAAAATTGTGGATATTCAATTCTAAAATTGTGAATATAAAATTCTAAAATTGTGAATATAGAATTCAAAAATTATGATACCAAGGCATAATGGTCCAAAAACAGAAGGTCAAGAGCATGACACGGAGTAACAGAGTAACGGAGCGAATGCTACGTCCAAAAGTGCCATCGAGAGCGTGTCATGCTAAAGGTCACACGACACTCTGGCCAGCTTTCGGATGATCAGCATGACAACCTAACCATCCGCAAAGTGGCCTAGCTTGTCACGATGGAGGTCCCGTTGACCTCCATCGTGACCTGCTAGGCCACCTTGTAGGTCTTGGGTGTCACGCTGGTAGTCACGTTGTGACCACCAGCATGACGCCCTAGGACTTGAAGGCTGGTTCGAAGGGTCACGATCATTGTACCTTCACGCCGTGAAGGTCATCGTGACCCTTGGCTATCTATGAAGCACTGGGCCTAGTCACGATGGAGTTCACTGCGTGACCTCCATCATGACCAGGCGTTCTGAATGCGGTTATTTTGGCGTGGATCCCAAAGTATAAATAGTTGGAGGCGTTATTTTTGTTCTATTTTTGAAATTTCCAGCATAAATCATATACATTGTAGTCCATCATCTATTGTAAGATTTAAAAGAAGATTACCGCATGTAATTACAAATTCAACTTCAATTTTAGATTTACTTTGTCAAATTCAATAAAGTTTAGTTCTCTAGGGATTTAGATAGAATTTTCTTGTATGGATGACAATATGAATTGAAATGCCAATTGCTTTTTAGTTTGTCAAATCAATTATGAGTAGTTAAACACATCTAGGATTTAGATTGAATTTCCTATATATATATATATATATATATATATATATATATATATATATATATATATATATATGGCAATATAAATTGAAATGCCAAATCTAGGTCTTGCAATGTCTTTAGGATGAATTTGATTGTGAGATTGGTAAATTGTATTGACTCTTGTTTGATTAGGCCCCAACTTGCAAGAGGTTATTGGATCTGGTGTTTCACCTATGAGAATAGGGTTTCACCATAACCAAACCTATCACATTTCTAGCTTACCTTTGAGAAAAGGGAGTTGGATGGGAATGAGTACACCAAGTGTTTGATCAATTGCCTCACCTAGTCTAGTTGCTATGAGAATGAGATTAGAACTTGGGTGATAGTCTATTGTCCATGAGAATGACGTTGGCACTTACTTAACTCCCTCACTTTCATTATTAAGCATTGTTTGGCTTAGAATCTTAGAACACTAAAAAGCATCTATGCAAGGTTATTTGATCTAAATTCTCTCTTTTAACATTGTCTTTTACTTAATCAATTGCTCTATTTTATATTTGTTTTTCAATGCAATCACTTATTTAATTTCCTTTAGGGTAGCTTTCAAACACTCAATGAACTTGTGTTTAACCCCTCTCTACTCAAATTTTTTTCTAGCCACTCCTTAATGACGACTCACTTTACACTCCCACTAAAACCAACTTTCAAATGACGCCGTTACCGGGGAATCACAACTCAAGATAGATGAAGTATAAAACTAGTGTATAATAACCGTGTACAATTGTGTTTTTATCACTTTGAATGATTGCGTTTTTACTCTATCTTTATTTGTTCAATGTCTACAAAAAATTTATTCATGAGCTCTTACACTTTTTAAAATGGTCAAAATATTAGAAATTTTTTTGAATTATATGAGTTTGCTTAATATTATTAAATTGACATGTTAAGTAATATTTTTCGTCGTTAAATGATCTTCATATTTATTTATTTATCATAACATGGTATTTCAATATTCTATAACCAAATTAAACTTTAATTTTTAAAATTGAGTTATTATTAGAAAGATTCCCATCTCTTCTATAGTTCTATACCTGTATGTGAATGATTCCATGATTAATCATTGATGAGTAGTTAACCGTTTAGGATTTTTCAAAAGAATTTTAAAAAATATATAAAAAGATTCTCAATTGTCTCTATAGTCTGTCTATACATTTGTTTTGTGCGTTAAACTTTGGCGGCGGCCTTAGGCCGATATGATGATTTTAAACATGTGGGAGAAAATTAAAATAAAATAGTCCCAAAGCCTTTTGCAACTTTCAATTCGTACATATTCTACATTTGCAACATTTCTACCCATACAAAATAAAATAAAATAATAATAATAATCTCTAAATCACATTAAAGAATGCCAGCAATCCAGCATGGTGAACACACCTGTTTCAATGATTGTGGAGTATTATATATCAAGTTAATGATGATAATAGTAAACAGACAAATCATTAAACATGTCTCTAATATTTGTTTAATTATGAATAGAAACGATAAAAATATTATTGATATAGTATTAAGAACATAATATATTATACATTTTTCAATAAGTAAATTTATCACAAAGGAAAAAAATAATTGGTCTCTCAATTATCTGCCATTAATCATTTTGATCTTCATTATTAAAAGTTTGCAATCAAAACTTTATAAAAATGCTGCAATTTCGTCCTTTAGTTTACAAAATTTTCAGATGGTTGATATAGTAAATTATTTCAGGTTGGGTAAATGTGATCGGAAATTTCATTATAAGTGAAATAATATGATCTTCGAAGAGTTAAATAAAGGTGATTGAGGTTACCAGGAAGTTAATTAAGGGCTTGACCTCGGGAGGCTCTGAGTGGAGTGGTGTAGGTTGGTAGTCGAAAGATCCCCCAATGCGCAATAAATGTCTTTTATATAGGGATGTGGGAGGGGACACGTGCGGGGTGCTTGGCATGTTCTCCATGTGTCCTTAGGAGATCGGGCGATGAAGCAAGGCTTGCCACATGTCCTTATTTTTCCAAATGTTGCAACATAATAGGAGAGATTATCTAATCTACACACCTAGCTATTAACTTGTCTATGAATATGACATATCAAACAAGACTAATCCCTTTTTAAAATGGTTTGTATAAATTTAGATGATGCACAGAAAGGAGCGATGGAAGTCGTGAGCTAGATGGGAAGAACGACGATGTCATTGGGTCCACTTAGGAATATCGAGATGTGTAAAAGGTGGCTTATGAGAGATTGGGAGATCTCTATCAACCATATTCATCGGAAACAAAATTATGTTGCTGACAAGGTAGCTAGAGTGGTGCAGCTTATATGTATATGAGAAGTAATGTGAACTAAAGTGATCTTGAAATTCTTCCGTTAAGAGTGGTGCAACTTATATGTATTAGGACTGCATTACTTGAGTTAGACTAGGACTCTCTTTCGTATCTTTATATTTGTATCTTCAGACTTTCGTATTGAATACAACACACAATTCATATCCTCATCTGGTATCAGAGTTTCCAGGTTTGGCTCACCATTGAGCAGGCTCTCTCGGCTCTTCGACACGATCTTGGGCCCTGTGGTTGCTCGGTGAATTACAGGGCTTGCGTTAGGGTGACTCGTCAATATCGGACTATCTCGGCCGTGCGCAGATGTTGGTGGAGGATTTAGCTCTTGCCGGACGGCACGTTACGTTGGACGATCAATATTTGTACGTTTTTCATGGCTTGCGGTCTGAGTTCCGTCCGCTGGTGGCGTCCTTGACGCGGGGTGCTCCGGTTCCGCTGACTGAGGTGGCGGATTTCTTGGTGTTGCAGGAGTGGATCTATGCAGACGATGGTGTCG